GAACTGCTTTGCATCAGGGATAATTAAGAACGAACCTATCCGTCTTTCAAAATTGAAAGCTAAGCTGATGCTGGAAAATAATCCCGAACGTTCGCTGGTCTCCCTCCAGAGTGACTCTGGGACTTTGGGCTTTCAGCGTTTGTTCTCTCGCTGCAGCTGCAGAGTCAGCTTCGCTGGACAGCCAAGGTTACACCCAGGGCTGAGAAAGGACCTGCCAGCCACTTGGCCTGCAGGCTGGGTGTTTGGGCCTCTAGAATTCACCGGATCTTTTCAGTTTCTTCTTGGCTTCTCTGCTGCATGTGCACAATCTCGTGTTTCCGTCTTCCTGTGAGACGCTGGCCCCTGGGCCCAGCTGCCAGTTTCACTGCCCTCTGCAGCACGGCCAGGGTGGCACCGCCCACCCCCGCTGTGTGGGCCTTCCCCGGCCCGGCCGCGGGCTGACCGAGCTCAGCCTGACTTGGGCGAGGGGCCTGCACTGTGCCTCAAGGAGGCAGTTCTGCTGCTGTTTCTGCTGCTGTTTCCTCTGGTGTGTTACGCGTTGATCGCTCTCTTGTGCGTGAAGCGCTTGGCTTTGTGTCAGCGGTTACCGTCTTAACGTGCATTGCAAAGGGCCTTGATTGACCTGCCTCAAGGACCAGAGAGGCAGCCGACCCTGTCCTGCCACCCAGCCTGCTGGGGCCCGAGGAGAGGCGTCCATTCTGCTGGGGGCTTCCAAAGACAGGCCATGACCCCCCCGTCGTGGTTCCAGCGGGTCTTCTTTCTGTTCTATTCTCTCTGCGCACGCTGGCACCGGATTGGATAAATGGACTCAACTGACATTTTTGTCGGAGCGTCAGGGTGCCTGGCCCTCTGGCGAGGCGGGTGGACACTGAGGTCGAGGACGCCGGCACGGTGACCCGGCCGCTGGACAGTGGCGCTCGCCCCTCACGGGGGCTTTCTAAGGGACGCAGGGTGCACGGGCCGGGTGCCCCTGCGAGCCTCGTCCGGCTGGGCCGCTCTGCTTTCTGTTTGAAATGCATCCTGTTCTATGGAGAAAATCAAACATGAAACAGAAAACCCGGGGACGACCGGCAGCCCCGAGCAGGAGTCCCGCGCTCTCAGCCGCCTGCCCCCGCAGCCGCTGCGCCCGGCCCTGCTCCTCCAGCGGACGTCACCTCCCGTCCCGGACCCCAACGTCCCGCGCGGCCAGACAGCGCGAGGGAGGGCGATGCTGAGAGCGAGTCTGGGAACTAAGGTGTCGCTTTCCTGGATGTTCCTTTTCCTGCGGCCGCCACCGCGAGCTGTTGCTGGGAGCCAGGCAGCAGGCTGCCGAGAGAGGGGGGCGGCGCGCGCGGGGACAGAGAGCCCCGTTCTACTTCCGGAGCCCTGTTTACCCAACACGTTCTCCTGCCTCCCGGTACCAGACACATCCACTCACAAACAAAACAAACGCCGCGGCCCGCGGGTCTCAGCAGAAGTGGCAGACCTGATGGGATGCGAGGGCTGGGAAGCCCCCGTAGGCAGAGACCAGGGCCGGGCAGGGTCCGTCCACACCACTGGGCACCCAGGGGTGCCCACGAGGGCCTGCCGTGGCCGCCCTGTCGTTGAAGAAAGCAGGAGCAGGTCAGCCCCTCTCAGAACGCCCCGGCCCCACCTGTGAAAGTAAGAGAAGTTGGTGCTTCGAGAGTGAATGTGAAGTATCTGAAAACGTTCGTACGTGAAGCAGCGTCCCTCGAGGATTCGGGAGGACTAGGTGCTTGTGAGGACTAAACGGGTGGCAACGAGGGAGTCCTGAACCGTCCCCCATCTGCTGGCCGCGCTGCTCCCCGGCCTGGCAGTGAGCACCCCCAGGGCTCCAAGTCCTGCCCTAAGTACCCACATTTCCTGTGAGTCTGTGGACAAGACGTCACCAGCCCCAACTCCCCAGGGACACTCGTGTCCGCCCGCCACTCGGGGCTCACAGGGCAGAAAGCACTGCTGGTCGGGCTCAGAGTCGGGGTGGAGGACCCCAAGGGGCTTTGGTTTACCCTGACGCCACTGATTAATTCATTGGGATCTCTGCCCAGTCTCCTTCCAAACATTTTGTAAGATTTATTAATTTTACTTAAAAACAAGGACATTAGGGAATGAAAATACTTCAAAATGATCAAAGAGGGCCTCCCCGGTGGCGCAGCGGTTGAGCGCTGGGTTGCGAAGCTGCCCGCAGCCTCTGCAGCGCCAGTTCGATCCCCGGCTGCTCCCCGGCCACCGGAGGAGGGTCCCACATGGCGCGCAGACCTCTCCTGCCGCCCGCTGCTCCCCTCAGCAGTGTCCTTCGGTCCTTCTGCCTGCTCTGCTCCCCGCTCTGGCTCTGGTGAATTCTCTCACCCTCCCGCGCTTCTGACTGTACCCAGTGCTTGTAGAAATAAATAAATAAATAAATCTTTAAAAAAAAACATGATCAAAGAAAGTTCTGCCCCTTTGACCATATGGTGCTGTCCCCACCTCTCTGCCGTCAGCAGGCACACCCGATAAATACATGATGCCAAAGAGAAAACATGCCTCGAGAATAAATCTGGCCACAGTGCCCTGTCCTTCCTGCAGCTCACAATGCACAAGTTCCCTCCAGACTGTCCCAGGCTGGCCTGGTTTATGGGTGTCTCTTAAATAAACGCCCAGAGTGGATGTTCAGTGAGTATAAACATGTCCTGCTCTCAAGGTTGATGCCTTAATATCCTAAAAGGACCCACTGCGTGGGGCTACGGGTTTGCATATATTAAAAATGTGGACTTGATGTTTCAAATCCACCAGCAGCTCCAGGTGCAAGGACTGTGTCTTGACGGTCAGCGTCAGCACCATCCAGTTTGTAATCTGCGGTTACTAGAGGGCGGTGGTTCTTCAAGCCCGATCGACTCAGCTTTAAAGCAAAGTGCTGTGAAACCAGGCCCTGCCTGGAGTTGAAAGGATGAGCCCAAAAAATGGCGATCTGAGCTCAGCCACTGCCTTCCAGGGGCATTTTAGAAGCAAAGCCCAGGCACGGAGAAGTGCTCTGATGTCCCTCCCAGGCTTCTGTCCTCCTGTCCTTCTGCCACGTCATGACTGCAGGACTTTCCTGACGGAAGGACTGCAGCTAAATATGGGTCTCAAAGGTGATTCACAAAGGCAGCTGCCCCCGTCTCCCCGGACAGCCTCCAGGCTGACTGAGCCCCCGGCCGCGGCCACGGGCAGGGCGGTCAGGCAGGACACACCTACCCACGCCCGGCACCTGCCTGCTTCTGAGCAGAACAAAGTTAACTTAGAGTTTCTTAGCATTGAATATGAAGAAAATAAATAAATACAAATCCATACTATTTTATTTTTGCTCCTCAGTATTTTGATGTAAGCTCAATGCAATATGTAACATCTTCTGTGAATTTTTTAAAAATTGAATCTGCATTTTAATATTTGAATGAGTACTTTTCATACTTAATATTTTGATTTAAATTTCACTTTTTCAATTACGAATTTTTGATTCTGTATCTGGCGATCTTCGTCTCAGAATGGCCTCCATTTGCATGTCTTGCATGAAAACCTTCTGGGTTTTGTCAGACTTTCTGGGCATCCTGAAGATGAATCGCGATCCACGATACCCGAGTGTGTGCCGGCCACGCACTTACCAGCCTCGGAGCGCAGTCTCCGTCCACACTGAGGTTAGCGGGGAGCCAGGCTCGTGGGAGGCCGGTGGCCGTGGCCGTCAGGAAGTGTGCTTGATCTTGTTCTCGGTGGTGGCCGGTGCTGCCCACGTGACCCGCACAGCAGTGGACGTCCACCCTCAGTGACGGAGCCCCGTCCCGTTGACAGATGCTGCCAGTTTGCTCTGAGCTCTGGAGTCTTTGTTTCTTCACTGCCGTCCACCACGTCCAGATATTCAACAAGGACAGAATGTTTTCTAGTGGTTTCCAGATTTTTCTCCCAGTTTTGTAGCGCCCACCGTGGCTGTTCGGCGGCCTGGTGACAGAGGGCCGGAGGGCGTTCTGCTGAGTCCTACTCAGAGTCCTGTGGGCCACCTGGGACGCGGCGTCTCCGACCCGTGGAGTTGCGAGAAAGTGTGCGGACGAGCCCGCCCTGCTCTTCCCCGCGCTCTGTGACTTAGTGTTAAAATGAAGGGTCTTGGCTTTTCTTAACTTTTTAGCCACTTAATCTCCTTAAATGGAGTAAACAAGAAACTGCCTCCGAGGAGGGTTACGACGGCAGGACCGCTGAAGCATCCCATCTGCCTCCGCTTCTCCGCCTGCAGCGCGAGCCCGGGCGCGGGGGGCTGAGCCGTGCTGGCTGGGCCGCGGGGACTGTTTCACTCTGTGTGTTTTGATTCTAAATATTATACTTGAAACGTCCGCGCTCTTGGAGAAACCTTTTAATGGCTCGCTGTGGGCCACAGATCAGAGCAGCTGTTCTGATCATGCGTTTGCGTGAAATTCAGTTTCCGTAGTGGGTTCTGCTCCAGGTGCCCACGTCCACGCACAGGCCCTGGGAAGGCATCGCCGCCAGGCCGGGATCAAATGTTGGACTTTGTTTTGCTTTAAAAGCCACGTATCCTGTCCGAGAAAGGAAGCAGATAGAGGCGCCCACATAAGCCCCCTTTGCGGCCTCCAGAGGGTTCTCAGCAGATGAATTTCCCCCGGAGGCCCCTGAGCCACCAGCCGCTAGCACGTCTGTGTTTCTGACTGTGGTCATTTGTTAGAGAGAATTTTAGCAGCTGTTATTAATCAAATGCAGTGACGAGAGCTGTTGCTTTTCACTTTCTCCCACGGCGTGGAGCCCCAGCGAGATCAGGTTGTCTGGGTCCTCCTCGTGGAAGCATCTTATGACGACGGCTGCTGCACGTAAGCGCGTGGACGCGGCTCGCTCTTTCTGACAGGGCGCGTGGGAGCTGCCGTCCCTCCGCACGCGCTCCCGTTTATGTCAGTGCTGCTTCTTCCCTGGAGCCGTCCAGGGGGCTCCTTCCTCTGGGGAATCACTTTACTTTCTTCGGCGCTGGAGCAGATCGTCATCCCTGATGGCAGAGCCCGGGGCTGCCTCGACCCCAGGCGTTTGCGTCACCAAGCTGCACGGTAGGATGGCTGCACGGGTGTCTGTGCCAGAGTTTGATGAGGAGATGCAGGTTAGATTAGGATTTCTGTGGAACAAGAGATAGTTGCCCTCCTCACTGCACACTTGCTTTTCTTGAGACCAGGTCTGCTGTGTTCTCCTGCCGACACCCCGGGGCGTGAGCACATTCGTGCATCAGCCAACGTGAACGGCTTGCACGGGGACGCGTGTGTCATAAGAACAATCAGAAGGAATGGGAGAGCTGGGAGTGGCCGAATGTCCACTCTAAGCCGGATTTGGGGCCCTTCTGTCCAGGAAGAATAACCGCTGCAGAAATTAAATCTCTCTCCCTTGCGGGAGTCACAGTCTAAGTGAGGGACGAGCACAAAGGCGAGGCTTGTGTTGTGAGCTGCGAGGGAAACCTGAGCAGAGTGGTTTGCGAAATTGCTTTAGAGCGAATTCGCTGTCAGAATGGTGGTTTCCATGGCTCGAGTCCTTGGCCAGTCCTGGCGGGCACCTGTGTGACATTGGGTGATCTGCAGCCTCCCTCTGGGCTTCGGTGTCTTGTTGGTGAATGTGGTTTTGGCTCACAGAGCCTGCACCGCACAACTCCACGCAGCCGTGGAAAGCCCCCTCGGTGACGGGCCTCCGAGGCCGGCGGGGGATGGACACAAATACTGACAACCGCCGGGACAGTGCCGCGTGCCCTGCAGCTCGGAGCCACCGTTCCTCTACAGCGTGGAGCTGACGTGCTGCAGCGGGCGGCTCCTCGGCGGGCGGAGTGTTCGCGGAGACTCTAAGACAGATGAGACCCTGGTTCCGCCTCACGCTGTCTCTCGTCACCCCGCCACCAGGCGCTGGCCCTGCAGAGCGAGGGCTGTGCTGCTGGCCGAGGCATGTCCCGTGTGGCCGCGCGCAGAAGCTGCTTTTGCACTGCGCTGAGTGGTGGCCCGGGCGGGGGTGGGGGGCGGGTGCCTCACTGTTCGGGGCGGCCGGAGTCATTGAGAGATTTCCGAGTCCCACCGGGAGGTGCTTGCAGCTCCCACCCGAGGACCAGGGAGAAGGAGCCGTTCCTCTCCGGGGCAGGGGACCCCGGGACGGCAGCGGGCGCGATGGAGGAGGCGCAGGCCGTCCGGAGCTCGGAGCGGCTCTCTCCAAGGAGCGCCGGTGCCTTCCGTGGTAGGGGCTGGGGACCGGGCTGGGGGCACCTGTTGCTCACGTTTTGAGAAACCCCCACCCTCTTGTCCGCAGGAGCTGGGCGGGTCCACACCCCACCCGCGGCGTGGGGCCCCTTCTCCACATCCTCGCCCACGCCCGTGTTCAGTGGGCGTGAGGTGACGCCTCGTTATTTCTCACCTTTTTAGTGACTTGCTCAGCTAGAGCCTCAACTCCGTATATTTCCCTTCTTGGAGGGCAAAAGGAAACGTGCGTGCGTGTTAATTTTCACCGTGGAGACAGAGAGAACCACCGCACAGCTCCTCATGTCTTTGGCTAGCGGGACGCCGTGATGGCCCCGTCTGTCGCCCGCGCTGCTCTGGCAAGCGTCACCCAAGAGGGGCATCGACGCCCGTCCACCGAGCAAAGGTGTGGGGAAGGGAGCGCCCCCCTTGACTTCAGTTACAAACACCAGTTAACAGCCGATGAGAGACGGAAACAGAGAAGGGAGGCCCGTGCTCGCTCGGGGTGCCGGCGCGGGACGGGGCTCGCGGCACGGGGGGAACCAGGGGGCGGCAAGCGAAAGGAAATCCCTGCCCTCGACAGCGCCTGTCTTCGCTGGACGGCTCAGGGAGCTCTCAGCTTTGCAAGTGATCAAAAGTTAAATTGTGTGGATTGCACAATCTTTTGTTTGCCCTTGTTGATGGATTGGTTCCTGCTTTCCTGAGTTTTTAGTGGAAACAATTATATCATATAAAAAGCTGTCTCGCTTCTTCTAGCCGCTGGCTTCATATATGGAAAAATACAGCTGTGCGTTGAATTGTCTGCTAGAAACTGGCCTTTAAAGGAGAATGCAGGGAAGCGGCTTTGCCAGTGTGCGCGGAAAGGTGGGGCGGGAGGAGGGCAGAGCGGGGGGCGCCGTGCACATTGCAGTTTTCAAAGGTTCTCTGCCAGCTCGTGGGAGAAGCCACGGTGGCCTCGGAGACACGGCCTGCCGGGAGCCACGGTGCTCGCGACGGCCGGCGGCGGAGGTGCTGCCGCCTGGGAACCGAGAAACTTCACTTTCCTTGTCAGCTGAAACGACGGTTTCAAGCAGCAGCGTGACACCTGGGGTGACGCTGAGACGGGCGGACGGTGTAAGCACCGTGAACTTGAAAAGAAACAAGTGAAACAGTGAGGAAAACCGGGCGCCCACTTGAGCTCCGCTCTGCTCTGTGGCTGTGCGTTCTCTGCACTCTGGCTCTCAGGCCCCCGTCAGGCGCTCCCCGTGTCAGCAGCTTCCCCGGCTCACAGGGTGCAGAGGCGTCGCCCAGCGCGTGCCCCTGGCTTCCGCGTGCTCCTGCTCCCTTGCCGGGCGCTGCGTCTCCGACGACAGCCTGAAGGACCCGTCGAGGGTGTTTCGCCTGTTTCCGTCTTCATGTTTCATGGTTTCGGGCCTGACGTGCTCCCCTTTGATCCATCGTGAGTTCTTCTGTGTATCTGCTGCGAGATCGTGTCTAGTTTCGGTTTTGCAAAAGGAAACGATCATTTTGGGTTAAAGAAAAGAAAAGACGCCCAAAACCAGAGCAAGCAAGCAAGCCAGACACGCATCCTGGGGCTGTGCAGCCAGGACAGAGCTCAAGGCCAGTCCGGAGCTCCCAGGGGGAGCAGGACGTCACCCCGCGGGACGCAAATGACTGCGCGTGCAGGGGGGGAGCCACGGGCATCCCCGCCTGCCTCGGAGGCTGCCTGTAGACACCTAAGTGACCCCAGACGCTTGCCCCGTCTGTGGGACGTGCGAGGCCAGTCAGGCGCCCGCACTTGCATTTAGTGGGCTCTTCACCCGCCCACCGGCCCCACGGGGCCCTCACCGGCCTGGGTCTGGACAGCAGTGGAGGAGTGACCGGCCGGTGAGTGCCGGGCTCTGTCGCTCTGTGGGTCTGTTGAAGGTCCCTTTTATACTGACGAGTCCCCACAGCCCAGACCCATCTTCAGGAAAGGGCGTGGATAAAGTGTCCCTGCTGGTCGCTGACTCCCTCCTGCAAGGGGGCTGCAGTGGCCACTGCCGCTTGTCCGTGACTTTGTTTCAGGCAGAGAGAACCCGGCTGCCGGGGACACGAAGGCCTCTGGCCACATGGGGCATGTGCCGGGGCCTTAGGGCCCCACGGCTGTTCCTGCTGCGTGTCCAGCTTGTCCAGCCCTGTGGGCAGCAGAGTGCAGGGAGCCGCAGCCGACTGGCCCCCCAGGAGAGGTGCGTCCACGCAAGACGTGTGCAGGGGCCGGCGGACTGAGACCACGTGAGCCTTGGCCTCGTCTCCTCCACTCTCTGCCACGTCCTGCGGCACCTTGAGGCTCGTAGATTTTGACGGACAGTCGCCTGCCTGTCCTCTGGGCACTAAATGTCAGGACGAGTTAAAGGGTCACCACGGGGCAGGTGGGGACTCGACAAGTCACCCTGCAAATGGGCACCCAGCCGCGGGACACTGCGTCCCTCCCCGCGGCGAAAACAGGCCCCGGACCCCGAGCAGAGGCTCTGTTCAGCCGCGTCCACCCCGGTGTCCACGAGAGACCAGCGTCACCCCACACGGCCCTGTCAGCCTCAGCGCCCGTCGGTGACACTTCCCCGGAGTCTCCCTCACGTTCCCTCCGAACCGCCTGTCAGAGAATGACGCTCGTCCATCCCCGCCAGGAGGGGGTTCCTGGGGACTCTGCCCACTCCCCGCAGGACCCGGCTCCCCACACCTGCCCCTGCTGCCCCGTCCTCTCCTCGCTGGCCCGCCGCTCCTGGGCACCCGGCTCACCCTTTCTCCAGCAAGCTGCCATGCCGTGCCAGGCGCGGCTGCCGGAGGCGCTGGTGTTTGTCACACGTGCAAACTCGTGAGCAGACACAGAGGCCCTTGTGACGGCCTCGCGGAGCACAACTCCCGGCCGCTGTCGAAGGAGCGGCGCTGCTGCCTGCCGTTCCCGCCTGGAGGCCTCCCCGCTGCTGCTCAGGGGCCCCTCTGTCCTCAGCGCCCCGCCGAGGGTCTCGGCCCACCCCGGGAGCACAGCCTGAGGCTCCCCCTCCCTTGTCCTGCTCACTCGCCGCCGCCCGCCCCACGCACCCGGCACCAGGCAGCGCTGGTGGCTCCACGCGGGGCCGGTAGCAAGGGGCCCTTGGAAGGCGCTGGACGCACGCCTCACCGTTCCGGGGCACCGTGGGCTGCACCCCAGGCTCACCCCGGGTCGTCCGCACGACGTGGGCCTTTTTCCTCTGTCTCTTTGCTGAGAGGTTCACAGACAGCCCAGCCGGACTCACCCCTGCCGCGGGAACGTCCCCAGAACCGAGTCCCGCGTGACGTGGGCGGTCCCTGGGCGGTGGCTCTAAAGCGTGGCCCCTGGGGTAGGGGCAGCAGCGCTGGGCACTCGCCCGTGCGGATGTCCACGCGGATAACACGTGCCGTTACCTGCCGGGCTCTGAAATGGGAACGGGGGGTGGTGTTTGCTGCTCCGTTTTTACGAGCCCCCCACGTGATCTGGCAGCCTCTCTGGTTTGAGGACGGCTGTCCTGGGGATTGGAAGAACACCTGCAGAACACCTGCTGTGCGCCTGTGCGGGACACCTACTGCGCGCGGGCCGTTTACTCCGCTTAGCGCGCTGCCTTTTTCATGACTCGCACATCAGGATTTAATTCGGCCGGGACAGCTTGTGTTTATTTAAGGTCAGTCTAGGGGCCGCCCTGGTGGCACAGGGGTTAAAGTCTCAGCGCTATGAAGCTATTGCCAGGTCACCGCAGCACGAGTTCGATCCCCGGCCAGGGAGCTGCCCACGTGGCGCAGCAGACTCTCCTGTCTCCCCGCTGCTCCCCTCAGCAGCGTATTTCTTCAGTCTGCCTGTCCTGTTACCCGCT